TGGAAAGATGGGTGTAGTTTGCAAACTAGATATGGAGAAGGTCTATGATTTGGTGGATTGTTCCTTTCTGGTGGAAGTTATGAAGAACTTTGGCTTTGGGGAGAAATGGTGTAAATGGATTCGTTGTTGTTTGAGGACTTGCCACTACTCAATTATGGTGAATGGGAGTGTAGTTGATCACCTCCCCGCCATTAGAGGGATCAGACAGGGCGGCCCTCTATCCCCTTTTCTCTTTACTTTGGTAGCTGATGTGTTGAGGAGGTTAATACAAAAAGCAGATTCTAGGGACCTGGTGAGAGGTTGGAGAGTGGGAAGGGATAGTGTGCCTATCACACATTTGCAGTTTGCTAATGACACAATTCTTTTTTTGTGAAGGGGTGACCTTAGATGGGTAAGGAATCTAAAGCTAGCGGTCCAACTCTTTGAGCAAATGTCAAATTTGAAGATTAATCTTGATAAAAGTTGTGTAGTAGGTGTGAATATGGATGCAAGGGAGATGTCAGATTGTGTTACTATCTTGGGTTGTGAAGTATCAATTTGGCCTATAAATTACTTGGGCCTTCCACTATGGGACAATCCGAGAAATAGCAACTTCTGAACCTAGTTTTGGAGAGAGAGACACAAAGAGATTAGCTTCTTGGAAGAAGAATTACCTTTCTTTGGGTGGGAGAAAAACCCTAGTCAAACAACCTTGGCCAACTTGTTTATTTTCTATCGGTATTGAAAATGCCAGTGGGGGTTTCCAAAAGTCTAGAGAAGATAATTAGAGATTTCCTATGGGAACCTAGGGAGGAAAAAAGGGACCATAGGGTCAATTGGGAAACTGTAACCAAAGGTTTGGAGTTTGGAGGGTTAGGAATTGGCAACTTTCAGAAAAGAAATGCAGCCCTACTAGGGAAGTGGTTGTGGAGGTTTCCAATAGTGAAGGATAGACTATGGGCCAAGGTGATTTCGAGTATTCATGGGTTGATGGCTGAAGGTTGGGATGCGGGAGTGTTGGCTTGAGCTACCAATGCTTCTCCTTGGAAGTCGATACATGCTATCCTACCTTCCTGAAGGAATGAGAGATCCATCTATGGACGCCCAAATCTTGCGGAATAAAGGGGCGAATTTCAAAATTTTTTTTTCTCCCTTCAACTGGGAATCGCATTCCCTATTTAGAAAATCATATTTTCAAGGATCAATCTTGAACCATAAAATGAACCAGATCTGAACCAAAAGGAGTAGGAGAGAGGTATACCTGATACAGAGAAATATTATCTCTCAATGAATGTGTTCACGCCCAAGGAAGGATCCAAAGACTGCTCCCACTGAAGATGGCGCAGTGTAGGATGGAGCAGAATCAGYAGTRTTCTTCTCCAAKAAYTYTRTCCTTCGCAAGAAACAGCAGGATGGCACGTGAGCACAGCTTC